TTGAGGGCTGCAGTAGGGACTATGAAAACGACATCAACAGAAGCGCTGGAAGTGGCACTCTGCATTCTACCTCTAAGATTGACTGTCATCAGCGCTGCCAAACTTACAGCNTATAGACTAAGGTGTCAAGAGGAATGGAGAAATTTTGGAGTAGGTCATACCAGGCTCGAGTTTCTTTACAAACTTCCCTTTACCTTAAAGCAAGACAGAATATTCAGAATACGCCAAGTGGACAAGGCGTTCTCCATAAACTTGACCACTAGGGCAGACTGAAAAAACAAAAATCTTCAGATCCAGCCGGGCACTCATGCATGGTTTACTGATGGATCTGGAGCAAACGGCTGCTATGGAGCAAACATCTACTGTCCAGGATCAAATCACAGAGAGTTTTTCTCTCTGAGTAAATTGGCCACGGTCTTTCAAGCGGAAGTCCTGGCCATTCTGGAATGTGCAAAACTCCTACTCTCAAGAAAAACAAAAACCAGGAGGATCACTATCTATATGAATAGCAAAGCAGCCATAGGAGCTCTTGCCAAGACCACCACTGAATCTTCAGTGGCTTGGGACTGTATGCAAGCTCTAAACAGATTAGGCAAGCAAAACAACATCACGCTTGTCTGGGTACCTGGCCACCAAGGTATCCAAGGCAATAAAGTGGATGATAGTTTGGCAAAACTGGGTAACTTAGAAGAACCAGGCTGCCAAATAGTTGGAGTTTCCTTTGCAACAGAGAAAAACCATATCAAAAACTGGCCGAAAAGGGAGCACAGGATCTCTTGGGAGATACTAAAGAGCTGCCGCCAAGCTAAGGCCCTGACGACTCAGCCATTGCCAAGTAGGACAAAGGAACTACTGACAATGAGTAAGTACAGACAAAGACTGTGCATAGGTCTCCTCACAGGACATTGGGCCTTCAAGGCACATCTATTCAACTTAGGCCTAGTTGAGGAGAGTAGTTGTAGATTTTACGGCAAAGAGAGGGAGGGCAGCGTGCACATATTGTGTCGCTGCCCGTCTCTAGCACTCAAAAGATTCAGATCCTTGGGCTCCATGTTTGTGGAGCCCGAAGACCTGAAAATAATTAAAATCGGC